TAGTTGTCAGTAAATCAATGTTGGGGTTATTAGTAAAACAACATGGTTTAATATATTCATGTCATAACTGACTATCACAATTTAATCTACTGATAAAAACCTTACCTGTTTCAGTAATGAAACTCGGATATATCAATTTTGTCTCTTTTTTTTTTAACTCTTTATATAGGTAGCTCCACAGATTTGTTTAAAAAATGAGCATACCATGATGAATAAATGCCCCAAACCTAATAAAACAAAGTTTTATCATCAAAATCTTTATGTTATTATTAAAAGGAAAGGAGTTTTATTTATTAAATTATATTTTTTGATCCATTTTAGAATGATCAAAATTTTTGTTAAAAAACTTTTTCTTTGCATCACTGGGGAGTACCAAAGATTAGTATAGGAAATTTTAGTGTCTTTTTTTATGCCAAAAAACATGTTGATTTGGAAATTATTGCAAAAATCAAATAATTGTCAAATTTTAATGAAACTTTCAAGACTTATTCACAAATGAATTAAATTATTTTAGAAATGTTTGGTTTTTTTTTTTTTTAGAAAATATTGGTAAAAATATTTTTTTTATACATCCGTTACTCCCCTCTTATTTAATTTTATGAAATTTTGAGAAATTAATGTTTACACTGCTTAATGTTTATATTAGTTATACAGAGTATGCCTTGGAGAATTTAAAGCATCAATTTATTTTGTAAAACAAGACCCCCAGTTACTGAAATTCTGCTCTGAATTGTAAAATAAAAAATGCCATAAAACTAAGATATTATTTAATTAGAAAAACTTTTAATTACCTTTGTGAATAAGATATATTATGGACACTACTGTCTTGAGAAAACAGTTTTTTTTTATGAATAATGAATTTTACAAGAACTTTTTTTTTAAAACTTTCATTAGAATAATTTATAAAGTTTTAAAATTTAAATTAAATTGTACTGTCTAGGTGAAATTGTAATTAAATAAAAACTATATTTACTAAACATAAATGGAAAAGCTTGGTACAATTCAGTGACCCCAATATTTTACAAAGAATTTTGAATTATTTTGTGTGTATAAATGTGCTGATTTTTGTAAATATAGACATCCATACACAACATTATCAGAAAATAAGAGCAATAACTATTGTAAATTTAAAGCCAAAATACCTAAAGTTCAATAAAACATGAGATTATGGAGAATATTTTCCTAAATTTTTAAGATTATTGGGAAGTTAAAAATTGTACAAAAAAGTAATTTTTACAGATATGTCTACTGTAGAAAAAAAAACTTCTGTCATTCAAACCTTAATTAAACACCTGCTGCTGTGTTAAAAATGCACTTCTGTGATATTTTAAACTTAAAGTAAGTAATATTCGTTTCAAATCAAATTAATTAAACTTTAAATCAGCTAACATTCCTCAAATAAAGTTTCAGAAATGTGTTTTATTTTTGAAAGATTTTTAATAAAGAGAATTACATTGTGAAGACAGATGGCCAAAAATGGCACTAAAATCAGTGATTTTTACAGATTTCAAAACAAAAAGTTCTTCCAGTCAATTTAAATTAATTTGTTTGAAATACAGCAAAATATTCTGTTTATTAGAAATATTAAAAAAAATAGTTTGAAATTAAAATTAAAATAAAAGCTTCAAGAAAGATTTTTCATATTTTTTAAATTCGTTTTTTTAAACCTTAGGTATTGCATTTCTGTAGAGAGAGAGAGGGTGTACCTAATTTTTATGGATATACATTTTAACATTAAGTAAAAAAATATTTGAGCATTAATTTTGCTTGACAGTTCTGCCTGATGGTAACATTGTGAATTCTTGCATGCTTCATGATTTCACACATTTCAATACAGACCACAGTACTTGATTTATAAGCAAAATTAAAAGTAGGTAGCTCCATTTTTTTGGCATAAATTTTCAATACCTAAGGTTTAAGATGAATTTTTAAAAATGAAAATGCATTCCTGAAGATTTCATTTTAGCTTTAATTGAAAGCTAAAAGGATTAAATTTATTATTTCCAGTAAGTAAAATATTCTGGTGTATTTCAGATAGAAATTATATAGATTGGAATGTCAAATTTCGATTTCTTAAAATTTTCTTAAAAGTGGCCATTTTCTTAATTTTTAAGAAATTTGTAAACAAAACAAATTTATTGATTTTAAAACTCTTCCAAATATATATATATATATATATATATATATATATATATATATATATATATTTATGACAAGTTATTTAAGTAAAATTAGAAAATTTAAAGTTAAATAAATCTGATTTGAAATAAATATTATTTACTTATAGCATAAAAACGTAATATACAACAATTTGTTAATGATTGGTCTTGTTATCTAAGGCAATGATTGATGGATGATTGAGTGACGAAACGATGACAGCTGGTACGGCTGGCTAGAATTGACATAAAATTTATGAAATCTAAGTGAACACATTCTTGGGGATTTTAACTACCTAGTAATTTCTTATAAATGAACATATTTTCTGCAATTATCTAATAATTTATTGACTTTTATTTACCTTTCGAAGATGCGCTATGCAAAAATAAAAAAAATTTAAAATGCTATAAAATTTTCTTTAATTAATTTCTCTGTAAAGAGACAAAACTCTTAGATCATGTGACCTTTTCATAATAATGTCATGTTTAGCCTTTTATAGATGAAAAAAAGGGAACAAATTAAGTAAAAAAATAAAAAAATTATTTTAAAAACAGAATAGTGTAACTACGTTTATTAATCTTTTCAATTTTGGATTCATAAATATCGTTTCCACTTAATTTTTAGCATCCTGATACCACTTTCTTAGCAATGTTAAATTTTGTACAAATCCGTACAAAAAGTGGATCAAAGAGCTTACCCAGCTTCATACAGATTTTCAGGAAATCTCAACTTCTAATTGGTCAATAAACACACAAGTGGGCGTTGCAATCCACCCATAAGTCTTTTTCCAGGGCATGACCAAGTTAAGTTTTCCTGCTCTTTTTCCAGGAACATGTCATGTGATCACGTTAATTATAAATTTCAGACACAAGTACCTTCTCTCTCTCCTCCTTGATTTCTCTCACTACAAGATGTAGTTGTAAAAAGGACTCACGTTTTGACCATGTGCGGTCAGACGCTTACAAAAACATATTCATGTACCCTTCCTAGATCCACAACAAATTATTATATCACCTCCAGGAAATAGTTCAATACAGAATTTGACACGATTTTAAACCATTATAAATTATTATAATTAAAATTTTAAAAAAAAATGAAAAAAAGTTCTTGCAAAAATTCATTATTCATCAGAAAAATTTTATTTCTTCAGACAATAGTATCCTTAATATAACTTATTTACAAAAGCAATTAAAAGCTTTTCTAATTAAATAATGTCATAGTTTTATTACATTCATTATTTTTCAGTTGAGAGCAGATTTTCAGTTAGAATAGTGCAAGTTTGAAAAAAAAAAAAAATTAGGTGATTTACATTCTCCAAGGAAATAGAAAAGTTTTTTTGCGAAATTTCATGAAATTAAGCATTTAAAAAAAAAAATTTTTTACCAATGTTTTCTAAAAAATTTTTTTTTAAATAATTCATTTGTGAATAAGTCATGAAAATTTCATTAAAATCAGACAATTGAATTATTTGATTTTTACAAGAATTTCCAAATCAATGTTTTCAACGGAAAAAAGCGCAAAAAAGTCAATATGATTATTATGCCACCGCGATGACGTAAATAAAAGATTTTAACCAAAATTTTGAACGTGTTAGAAAGGATTAAAAAATTTAAAAAAATAATCAAAAAAGACTTTGGTCTTTCATAACAAATATTTTGTTGACGATAAAACTTTATTTTTTTTATTAAGTTTGTTGCCTTTTTCATTACGCTATGCTGTTTTCCGCGAAAAAGTGGAGGTACCTAAAAGGAACCATTGTATTCATTTAGTTTCTTAGCTTAATTTTCAATACTGCGGGAGATCCAACCAGGATTTTAATAACTAAACCAGGTACTAGAATTTCATGGAGTACCGAATTGAGGGCTAAAAACTTTAAAAGAACATTTATTTGTTGAAGTACTTCTATTTTTAACATTATTACAATGCCTGATTCTAAAAACGGAGGATCTTGCAATATTTTTTTTTATAATCAACTGTCATGTTTTACTCCAAAGTCAGCGATAATTTCTGAGAACACTGTTAGTGTTGTGTTATTTAAAAACTTCAGCGCGAAACTAATTTGTTACCAGAAAATTAAATCAACACTTTTTCCCTTATAAAAAAATCAGTCCTAATCAACAAGTAACGTTTTATTTCGTAAAAAGTTTCACATTCATTGTTTGCGTTTGTTTTCTGTCCATTTGATCAAATACAGACAGAGGTTATAAATAAATTATTTCGGTAATAGAAATTTAATTTTTATCAAAATATCAGTCACTCATTTCGGGAAGCAGTTTTCACGACAAATAAGATTCGTTACACAAGAGAAAAACACATACGAAATCTCCACAAAAGTCGCTAATAAATCTCTACAAAAGTCGCTAATCTTAAAAAAAAGTTTTCGAAATTTTTAAAATAAAAATTTAACTGCTATTCATATCCATAAGTAAAAGTTAACTTTTTTACGGTACCATGTACTTATTAAACTCAAAATAAAAACTTGAAAAACATTAGTAGAAAATTAGAGACTATTTAATAAATTTGTCAAAATATTATTTAAGATTCATGGTTAAAACAGAAAATTATAGAAAAAAATATACTTTTTCATTGTGATTGTTTTTGCCATTTCTTTTATAATCGATTAAAGTAAACTTTTTAATTACTGTATTCTTTTTTTTAAAAAAATGAAAAGATATTTACAGTTAATTCAACTGGGTGATTTAATGAACGCAACCTAAAAAAAATAAATAAATAGGTTGATTTCGGTCTTCTTTTACTAAATAATTGACATTTTGTATTGTTTTGTTTGTTGGTTAGTATAACCAACCACAAGATCTACACGTGGTCTGAGTTGGAGTTCTCACCTGAATGTTAAAGTTTTTGGGAAACAAACTTTTAGCTGTGATCATCCATGCTTTGGCGGCGTAGGTATCAGTCTTGATATAGCTCTGGGCCCGCAACACAAGCCAGTCTTCATCGGACACGTTTTCACTATTTACAACCACCGCCATTTTGGCATCGATTCTAGCCGGCATGAGATGCGCACTTTAGTTCCGTACATAACAATCCACATGACAAAAAGAAAAACATGTGTACTATCACTTTCCATTTTGCCTTGAACAACAAAATGGTTTCAGGACTTATTTAATTTTATTTTTATTTGTATGTTTATTTAGTGCATGAATACTTCTAAATAAAATTGCTTCTTTTTGTTTTAAGTTTTCATTTATCTATTTTGTACGAAAATAACACTAGCAATTCTATTTGATTAGAAAGTTTTTGTAAAACATTTCCTTATTTCACAAAGTGTAATAGAACATTTTGATAATATTATTTTTGATAGTTCGGCACTTAAGAATTAATATAAAGTTGAACTTTCTTATAGTGATAGCAATGTCTATTATTAAATTTTTACATATAATTTTAGAAAATATTTATCAGAAAATTCCCTGTATATTTTCCACTCGTTAAATAAAATTTTTCAACTTTACTTGCAAACTTATTTTTAGACATTTGATGATAAAATAACGGATTTTTTGCGGTGTAATTTATTATGTCACTCTAAGTTGAAACTACCTAACTAAAGTGGTGTTTGAATTAGTATCAACAGATACTTATTTTGCATTCCAGTTTATCTGAACATTTTTTTATCCTAAAAAACTTTTGGCCAATAAATATATTCAGATTTTAATTTAAAATACAGGAATTCAGAACATAGTCGTAGTCTCAGACAAAACTCAAACTTAAATTCTATATCCTAGAATCTTGAAATTGTTGCAATTTATCTAAAAAAGTGAAAAATATACTATTAAAAAGTTTTTAAAAAAATGAAAATATAGTAACACTATAATTAAAATATTTCCTCTTAGAAACTTCATTTAAGATAATAAATTAATTTATAATTTAAGATACTTCAATTTCATGATCACAAGTCCTGTAACCCTTAGGATTGTAGGGGCACTACAATGCAGTAGCACTAGCTGTGGTGTTTCCTGGGTAAGACAGCCTGACATATCCCAACCCTCTCCAGGTTGGTTTGAATTCAGAATTTTCTTTCTCCTAGACTAGTCTCCAACCAAGACTATAGGACCCAGTCTAGCCTGGGAGGGAGAAGAGATGGATTCATACCTTTCCCAAGGGTATTAGCAAGTAATGAATTTGACTAGAATTAGAACTGCTCCTCAATCTGAGATGCTAGTTATTATTCCACAGTACTACCTTCAATTTATAAAGACATAAAATTATTTTTTTTTATGAATTAATTGGCAATGTTAAATTTTCATGCCCAGAAAAAATGGTGTGTCAAAAAGACAGTTATTTAAAAGGATTTTTTTTCCCTGGGTGGGCATAGGAAAGAACATCAACTCTCTTGTCTTGGATATTAAAAAAGGTGCATACAATAATGAACAAGACTCAAAACTTTTATGTGAAATTTGAAAGGGACAAACATTTATTGATATGAAACAATATAGCAAAATACAATTTTCACAAAAAGTTTGCAGAAAAATTTCCTTTTGTGTGCCTTATTACAAACAAGGCAAGATAACAAATCAAAAATATATAAATTATAGGCCCTTAAAAAATTTACAATACTCAATACAATCTTCAAATTATTGGAAAAATATTGAGAAGGTAATGCAAAGACTTTAAATAAGGTTGAAAGTACTCATTAAAAAAAGGTGCACCCACCTAATAGAAAGACAAAAAAACAGATGGTTTGGCAAAACTCACTTGTATCACTGGAACTTTTAATAATATTTTTGAAATTTCTTTCAGTTTTTTTTCTGCTTTTTTCAATTTCTTTTTTGTTGTTGGTGGTGGTTTGGTCAGCTTTTAATTTTTCTTTGTTCTTCCTTTCGTTATGACAGAAGTTGTCCTTGTGAATGTCGAAACCTTCTAGCCTTTTGTTCTCCTAGTGGATGTTAGTGACTTTTACATGTGAATGCCACAATCTCTTCCGCACTCCACCTCCTCACAGTCAGCCTGCCACCTTCACATGTGAAATCTTTCTCAGTATTATCTACTAATCCATCTTCTTATATCTTCCTGAAAGAGGCTCAAATGGGTCTCAATTTTAAATTTATGGGGTGGAAGGCACCCTTTTGATTGGACAATAGATACAAAGAGTATATCTTTTTTAAATTTGAAAAACGAATCACTAACAGTCTGCCATGACTGTTATTTTTGGTAGTTCTTTTAGAGTCAATTCTATATATAAAAACTTTTATGGAACAAATGTAGCACATGAAATATAATTTTTTATAAACCATCTGGCTTTCATTTAAATACATTTCTCCCAAAAGTTTAATAATATTTATTTATTTTATTTACACCTTTTTTTATTAATTATTATTTTTCAGTATTTTATATTACTAATAACTTTTTTAAATATATTCTCTTGACACCACTTTTACTGTATACACTTTTGACTTCCTCAGCAATGTTTATTGTTTTAAAAAGAAATGATTAGAATTTTAATAAAATCCAAATATGAAAATGGATTTATATATTTTTTTTATTCTTGACAATTAAGAACAAAGATGTTAAACATTATTTATTTATTAGATTGCTTATTTACAAGAATGATTTTATATTTACAAGATTATAAAGATATGTGACCCAACTATAATGAAATATTTATTATTTACCATTTTATAAAGAAATAAATAGGAAAAAAGTTTTTTATTCATAAATTTATAAAACAAGAAAATTTAAATAAACACATAACATCAAATAACTAATTATAATTTTTGAAAAAATGGATTTTCTGGGCATTTTTTTCATTTGTACTTACACTCTTTCTCTTACATATTTTGAGAATTTTGTAATTTTTTATAAATTTTTAAATAAAATTTATTTCTTTATAAAATAGTAAATAATAAATCTTTATAAAAGGTAAATAACAAATATCACACTGTACTTGGTCCACATATTTTTATAATCTTGTAAATAAACATTGCTGAGGGAGTCAAAAAGTTATACAGTAATAGCGGTGACAAGGGAATAACTGTCCTGTTGACACATCATTTTTTTGCATGCACGAAAGTTAACATTAACAATTATTTTATACTTTTAAAAAGTTAAGTATCTTAAATTATGTTAATTTCCATACATTTAAAAAAAAGTATATAGTAGTAGGCCAAGTTTAATAAATAAAATAAAATAAATATATTTCTTAAAACCCCTGAAAAGTATCACCTACTTATTATCTTCTTAACACCTCATTAGCATTAACACCAGCATTCTTAAGGATAGGTCAATCAGATAACTTAATTTCTGAAACTAGAAACAAAAGTCCAAAAAGCGCAGGACAATCCTACTTGCACTCACTGCCCTCCCTGACCACTTACTGATTTCAGGAAAAATAAGTGAGTTCTCTACCCTTTCTCCAGAAATTGGAATAGGCTGATCACCTCGTCTAACCACCAAAGACCTAATCAGGACAACTGCCTGCTACAAAGAAGGAGGTCTTGCACACTCTTTCTCTCTGTTCCAATGTACCACAAGCTATGAAATTTGTTGCACAAATGGATACAGTTTGTATTCATAAACAAGAAAAAAACCTTTCAAAACAACATTCACTCAGCATTCATTTATTTCAAATATAAAAACCAACATTCTGAGCCAACCTCCACAAGCACCTTGTAGAGCCTTATATAACTTTTAAAACAACTTTTATTACCCAGTATATATGTTAGTGGTGATGTCTGTTATAAATACATTTTCAAAAATATTTTTTTAATCTTGCAAGTGTTGTATTTCTTTTTTTTTCCATTCATATTTTGACTACAAAAGATGTTATTAAAAGTTTTCTGGGTATTAAAAGCCTGATTAAAAGCCATTTTCAACTTATAAAAGGTTTGAAGAAATATGGACTAGACACAGGAAGAATTCTTAATGATTTTAACTTGAACTTTAACGTCTGGCTGCTACTCAGACTATCATGCTGCCTTTCAGTTGCACTTACTACTTCCTGCATTGTCCTTTTATTTATACCTCAATTGTGGACATCATAGTAGATGCAAAATGTGTGCAAATATTTCACAGAAAAATTTTCAGCTCAATTCTAAATAGTATAATATTCCTAATAAATTAATAGCTATACATGTTTAACAGCTGAAATTTTACATATCAATAATTTGATATATGTTTTAAATGTTGTGCAAATCTTATCTTTCTTTGTCAATTACAATTAAATTTTATTTTAATAGAGATATTGTATCTTAATAATTTTCAGTAAAAATATATTTTTATTTTGTCTAAAACTGATTAATTTACAGAATATATTCTAATATTCTATGTTTTCAATATAATTTAAGTGTATCTAATTTGTTTTACAAAATTTTAATTTATATGAATTTTTAAAGTTTTTCTTTACAAACTCTACAAGACAGTAGTATTTTATAAGAAAACCTCTGACCTCTTATCTTGACAATTTTTTGTAATCATGACAACCAACCAATTTTGCTTTTATTATCAGCTCAATAAGCAAACACGTTAATATTTATTAGTTCTGTGGCTCACTTGGCTTGTCTGCAATGTAGATTTTTTAAAATTATTTCTGTTGACTTTCTTTAATTTTCTGCTAATTGTACCAATGTTTTTTGTATCAACAACTTGTTTAGTAACTTATTATTTGGATTAATATCCCTATCTTCATTTCTTTTAGACACAACATTTTGGTTAGTAAATTTATTTGACTTCTTTTAGGTGTATGCCACATGTGATAATCTTCAAATGTTCTTGACAATTTTATTGGAATGTATCAAAAGTGTTTTAATTTTTAAGAGCAGTATATTTTTTGAGGTATATATAATCTTCTGCACATATTTTTCAAAGATCCTAGCAGAAAGTTTTTGAATGTTGGTAATTAGGTTCTCTTCTGACTTGTATTTTAAAGCATCATAACCAACAGGTGATAATTATCTGCATGGGTTTACTGTGTAACAGCAGCCTTACAGTTAACAAACAAAAGGTAGAAGTGATAAAAACAACAAATGAAGATAAGATGTAATTAAGATAAGTAATAGGGTTT